GTGTCACTATGGTGAATGTTTAGCTTCTCATAATCACACTCGTAAACTAACCGTTAGTAACTATGGGCAAGCTTGTTAATTATTTATACCGCTTTCCGTCAGCCTGCGCCAGCACCTTCTAGTGAAAGCGTCTCAAAGGGAGAGTAGGGGTTGGAGGATAGGAAGGTCGCGGCAGCTCGAGAGCAAGAATGCTGAGATGGTCGAGGGGAACTGTCGAATAATTAGTAACCGACTTCCCATTCTGTGCGCTCCTCTATTCAAGAAATGGTCAGGACTCGGGTTTGAATATAGACCACGATGCTCGAGTGTGTCACTTGCTCATGGTTCTATTTTCTGCTATTCAGGAGATGGTAGAAGCCGAGATGTCGACCATGATGCACTTGACAGTTGACACGCTGTTCTGTTTTCCCATGTTTAGGAGATGGTCGAAGCCGAAATTTCGACCATGATGCTCAAATGTGTCACCTGATTCACTTGTCTATGATGTGTTCCCCTATTCAGGAGATGGTAGGGGCCGAGATGTCGACCGAGATGCTCAAGATTGTCTCCTGACACGTTGTTTTCTTTTCCCTCTCTTCAGGAGATGGTAGAAGCCGAGATGTCGACCATGATGCTCAAGTTTGTGGAGCTGTACGAGCGAGATCTGGAGGTGGACAGACAGCACTGCTTCCTGCTAGTTCAGGCGCAGCAGCAGCTGGCCGAGCGAAGGTAAGGACGCTAGGGAGTTCGGTGGACGTGGTGAATGGCATGCTCTCCATGCTGGGGCTCCGCAGATCGCTCGTTTCCACTAAAGGATTGCTGTTCAAGTTGTTCCGTAGATGTTTGGTCATGTGTAGTTTTGAGATCTTCAATCGATTCACCACGGGAGTAGATTTATTTCTTGATGTGGCAACGCTACATTCTATCAATACGCGAAGTATATTGGTGTGTTTTAGTCATCACCTTTGTAATGACGTAGACGCCACATAATCCATGTCATGGAGGGTCTTAATACATTATCTATCTACCTATCTCGAATGCTAGACACGTTTATCAGTCGCCAGAATGGCTGACTGAACCTTCCGCACCGCATTCTCCCCTGTTGCCTACTTTTTCCGCCCTACCATCCTCGCGGACGGCCTCGGCCTCTCCTTTCATAACATCACCTCTATGCAGCTGTTCCTTGCCGTCCTCGCAAACCACCCCCTCTCCCGTGCGCTCTTGTCTTCTCCGTAGTCCCTCCACTCTGATGTCACCACTGGCTGCTCCTCCCCTTGCATCTTTTGCCGCTCTCTCGCCGTCCCCTGAAATTCACCGTGCTGACGATTCCCTCTCCCCATCAGGTACACGGTAGCCACGGACAGTCTCCGGGCAGAGATGGAGGAGGCGGTCATGGCGCTCAGCCAGCGCTACGAGACAGCTCTGGCGCGTCTGAGGGCAGCGCCGGAGCCGCCGCCGCCCCCGCCGGCTGATCAGTCTGACAGACTGCTGGCTGAGCTGGCGGACGTGGTGGCTCAGAAGGCAATCGTCGACGGGTGAGTTTTTCAGTGTGGGTTTCCCTAAAGCTTAAACATCGCTGTCATTTTGAGTCTGAGAGGGGATGGGGAGAGAATGCGAAGATCGGTAGCTTATTTGTTTTATGTGTCTCCACTCAACGATATGTTTGTATCAAACATCAGTTACTTTGATTCGCTCGCAGTCAAAGCATCGTAATTTGTACGAGCATCGAAAGCCGAATGCACGAGCTACCTTCGCTATGGTGACCTGGATAGTAAACGGTAGCCGATCTGGTGCGATTAAATGTTCGCTCTTGCTGCATCTTGCAGTATGATGCCTGCCTGTTTTGACTGTATTTCGTGTCACACATTCTCAGCTATACAGACTCGAAATTTTGTCAATTTCAAGCGATACGAGAGAGGCAAATGCCTCCTCTTCAATCTGCCAATGAGTATGGCGCCGCCGACATTGCATCTATGTTCTAACTCCACCCCCTCTCTATACCACAGCTACCTCTCCGTGATCAGTGATGAGGACGAGTCCGGCTCAGACGCCACTCTGGAGATTATCGAGGAGGATCCGGCCGGGGACCGTGCCGTCCCCCTGGACACCAGCCTTCAGCGGGACAGCGCGCTGGCGGTGTTCTTCGGAGAGGGCGCGTCGGCGAGCGACCAGGCCGAGCTGCAGGTAACGGGATGGGGTGGTCTGTAATGGAATAAACGGATTGGAATGTAATGGGCTTCCAGTAAAGAAATGCTTTTTAGTCATGAACTGAATCGAGATTAATGGAATGGGATGTGACGGAATGGTCCGTCAGTGGTAGAAATGTTGGCAATGGGCCATTAGCAACTTTATCTCGAACAACATATTTGATCATCGGTAAGCCACGAGGATGATTAGAAATTACGTGCCATCGCGGAGTGTCAGTTCAAGCCTTGCACCTCCTTCATTGTTTTATCATGACAAATTGTATGTATGGGATGAGAACTAGCATTATTATTATCATAACCAATGCTTCAAAGTTCAAGTTCAGCTATACAAATCGCTTGTTCTTGCTGTAATGACCCCTTCATTCAAGCCAGGTCTCACCCCACTGTATCACTATTCCTAGCATCTCTACCGCGCCGCCGTGGAGCGCTGCCGTGGCGAACTCTCCGACTACGGTGTAGCCATCCCGGCCGGGCAGACTCTGGATGAGTTCTGTGAGAGGACACAGGAGACGGTGGCGGCCGTACGGGCAGAGTGTACCGCGCAGCTGCAGCAGGAGAGGAATAGGCATAAAGAACAGGTGAGGGCGGAAGGGGAGAATTTATGGATGAGGTAGGCATAAGAAACAGATGAGTGGTGAGAGAGGAGGATTGGGAATGGGTTCCTCCAGCGAGCATCTTTTGACCTGTGCCCCCACTCGAGTGGGGCGGGGTGCAATCAGTCTGAGTCTGACAACTTCGTCGCTTGAGCCATTGTCTTGAGACAATACCTGACATATGTCGGTCGCTGACAAAATCTGTTGATGTTTGCCGCAGGTGGCTGTCTTTGGCTGACCTCTATCCGTGGCTAGTCGACGTCTAACCATCCCGACTGCTTCTGTCCCCAGGTTCGCTCCCTGGAACGCGAGCTCGACAGTCTTCGCAAGAGCCGACTGCGCCCAAGAAGCGTCGACAAGAGTCGACGACGCGTCTCAGACATCACTGGGATGGTGGCCAGCGCAGAGCTAGAAACAGCCCCGCTTGGAGTCATACGTCAAGAATTGACACAGGGAACTAGCACTGCTAGCGTTCCAGCATCTGCAGAAGAACCTTGTCGGCAGTGCGAAGAGCTTCGCGCACGTACTGAAACGCTTTCGAGCGAGCATACCTCAGAACTAAAGGCTCTCCGTAAGGTGCAAGATGCCGAACTGGAACAACTGAGACGCGAGATGACATCTGAGGTCAACAAGGTCACAGCTACGTATGAACGCGAGAAGGAAGCACTAGCGAGTGAAGTTCGTCTTCTTCGACGACGTCTGGAGAGTCTTGAGACGGAGTATGAGACGCAGCTCTCTAGTCTACGTGGGCAGTATGAGAGAACGGCTGGGGAAGGGGCGGAGAAGCCTCACGATGACGCGCTGGCAGAGGAGAGCATTCGACGACGGTATCAGGCGGAGATCGAGCAGCTACGGGTGAGTGCTGGCTACCATAGGGATCTTATCTGTACAAGATCTCTATACTGGCTGCTGGAGCCATAAGGGGTCCCGCGCCCGGCATTCCTTCTTAAGACTCTTCGATAAAAATACCCAATCGTCCTGTTCTATAATAGGAGAATGGATTGCATAAATTTTGGGCCAGCCCATGGGAATAAGAACTACATGTGCAGTTTTCAGCTTAAAATTTTTCTTCTCACTTACTTGCCTATAACCGTCCTGGCTCGTTCTTTATGTTGGGGTTGGTCAGCGACCAGCGTGACATCCGTGCGTTCCATTGATAAGATATTCTGATGCCGTATGAAAAGACCTAAGCGTGACCACTATGTTCTCTTTCGTCAAGTTGCTTCGGTAAAATTAGGCCTGTGATGTGTAACATTTATGTTCTCGTTCGTTCAGGCACTGTGTGAGAAGGGCCTGGTAGCCATGGAGAACTCCCACCGTCGCATCATTGCCGACCTAGAGGAGAAACATCACCGCGAGCTGCGAGCTCTGGAGGCGGAGAAACAGCAGGCGCTGGCGGAGGAGACGCAGGTAAGAGAGAAACGCTGACTAGCGTATTCTCTTCATGCACCCATATCTCCGTCCTTGGCAACTGGCAGATTGCGGTTGGAACGTGCGAGAGCTTAAAGATCTCGGCTGTTTACATAACATGCACAACCAAAAGTCATTGTCGGTGAAAATATCACAACTGGCGATGTCATGGTAATTTTACCGATTATGTCGTCCTCGATATGCTTTTGCTGACTGCTTATTGTTTTGAATTTGATGCACTGTCTCATTTTTTTGACTATCATGCCAATATTAGAAATAGCGTCTTCAAATCAGTGACTTCTCCCGTTTACTACCATTATACCGGGTTGCCCAGAAGAAACGTTCCCAATTTTAAATCAATATTTCTCAGAAAGTGATAAAGATACAACATTGAAACTTCCAATAGTCAATGCGGCATATATTTTCAGCAAATCGTATGATTTTTATGTTATTCGGTCAATTACTTTTTAAACGGTTCGTGTTTCTAGCATGTCATGTAAAAATCACTTTTTTGCTCAGATGTTTACTAAAAATGTGAGTGAACGGGCCACTTCCATCTCGGCACCACGGCCTGCAGCCAAGACTGCTTCTGGCAACTAGCCTCATTGATGGTTCAGGCCTCAGGGTGACACATTCCCTCTCACCTTTTTCCTTTTTCGGTCGATTTACTATTTGATCTTCTTGAAGGGAGGACGATCAGCAGTAGCCCATGCACCGTGCCGCTCCTTCTCTTCGAAACAGGACTTGTTTTGAAACGAATGGCATCCATTAAAGCAATTTTGGCTTAGCATTTGAATATTTGGCACATTATTGCTATGCGGGACAGTTTACAGTTCACGATAAAAAAGACCGTTCTGGTTTTTAACAACACCTTACACCCAATATCACAAATCACGATAGGCCGCTGGCTAGAGTTGTCCGTGCAGAATGTGCGCCGGCCGGTGTGACTACACAGGGCCCGAGCGGGTGACGATCGCAGGCTCCTCTCCCGTGACTGGATGACTAGACGTGGGTCGAGCCGGAGCGGTGTTTCGAGCCGGCCAGCTCAAAGAACAGCACGTATGCCTTTCCGCTGTTGACGTTTCTCTGATCCATCACGTGGACCCGCGAGTCGTTGTACTCGTACCACTCTGCCGTGTACGGGTGTCGGCAGTAAGCGGTGTAATGTCCTGAGAGCAGCGTGCCAGAGTGGTTCGCCACGCCGTATAGGCTGTACCGGCAGGGCGTCTGTCCGGCCGAGTAGGGCGACAGGTCCAGACCGTTCATCGAAAAGTCGACAGTGATGTTCAGCTTTCCGCCGAACCTCTCCTGAGGCGAGAACCGCTTCAGGTGCACCACGAGGATGCGCGGGAACTTCTGGATCGAGAGGCTCCTGGTGCACTTTTGGCGCTTCTGGCACTTTGAGCAGGTCGGTTTTTCGTCGCCATCGAGCACCTCCTCTTTGGTGAACAGGTCAAAACAGGCCTGTAGGCGCACCTGGCCACTTCGTGACGGGATTGGCAGACTCAGATCCCAGAACGGGCTGAAGGTAACCGATTCGTGGCCACATACCGTGCACCGCAGGGTAGCCTTGAGCTGGCCCACGAACAGGTCAACAAACTTGGAGTTTTCCAGGCGCAAGAAACGTTTCCAGGCCTCCATTGACTTTTGACTGGCGCTCATTGAGTCATCGATGTCGGTCGTGATCGGCTTTGGCCGGCTCGTCACCCGGTTCACGTCCTCGTGAAGTCCCTCCAGCAGATATCTGAGGAATTCCTGCGCGTCTTGCTGCTGGGAGCCCATGAAGCGCGGCGCGAGCCGTTGGATCATCGACTTGAGTGGTGCGGTGGTGAGCACCCGCTCCGTTTCGTCCGAGGATGTCCACATGTCGCGTATCAGAGCGCAGAATGTGTTCATGAGGGACCCCTTCGTAGCGGCGGCAGGCATGCTGGCATCTGAGGAGCGTCCATCGCGCAGGATGTAATCGTGGAGAGCGCGTGTGTTGCTCAGGCACTGGACGACTGTGTTCAGGAAGCAGGTGTTGCCCGTGTTCCTGAGGCCGGTGAGACCGAGCGGTCTGCCGTCAGATTGACTGCCAGTCCCGCCTCCGTCTTCGCAGGGGTTGCCGGGCAGTGAGCGGTGAGACACAACGTACATTGTGGCGTTCTGGTAACACGAGTTACCGTAATTGGGAAGTCCGGTGTAGAGCGGATCGTTGCCGTGTTTGTCGGGGTCTGCGGCTGGGGTCAGCTGTAGCTCGCGAGCCGTGTGCGCCTTGCCGCCGTGCAGCTGCAGCGCCCTGCTCTCCTCCTCCAACTTCTTCGGCGACGGCGGCGACCACCTCTGCTGGCTTGCCACTAACCGGGAACCACCCGAGCAGCCAGACCGCCTCGAGCCGGCCGCCGTCGCCAGCTGTTGCTCAGCGCTCTCCCTGTTGGGGCGCTCGGCGCTGAGGTGTTGTTGGGACGGGTCAGTGGCACACTCCAAGAGAACTGAAGCGGCGTTACCTCTCACAATGGCGATGGAGAGTCGCTGCCAGAGCCACTCCATCTCTCGCTGGTCGCCGGTGACCGCCGCCATTTTAGCACCAAGTTCTTGGAGGAAGGCTTTGGTCGTAGGACCACAGGCGCCGTCTGTCTCAAATGCAACTGGCTCGAACCTGAAACGCTGGGTGAGCTGGGCGTACTTTCGGCGCTTCTCGTCTTCTGCTTTCTTGGCCGCCGCCCCAGACTTCAGCGCGGCACCTCCCAGTCTTGAGTCTGCGAATGTATTGACGCATGTCGCATCCCAAACTAGGCAACGGCCATGCGAGAATGGGTAGATGGTCATGCCGTCTGGCCTCTTTCCGTCGCCCCGGTCGACACCATACGGCTCGAGCTGAGCTGGTATGCCTGCAGTCGACAGAGCACGTCTGACTATGTCGTTCAGTGCTGTGTGGCGCGGTAATCTTCCAGCACTGAACTGACAGGTGAGAGCGTGGTGTCCCTTGACGTCGGCAGGCGAGCCGCACCTGCAGGCGTGGACGCCGCTGCAAACATCGGCGCCGACACGTAGAGCGACTGCGATTCTCACTGTCTCGTTGTCCAGGTGGGTTCCCAGACTAGAAGACGGGAGAGCTCTGAGCCATGCTCCGCTTTCAGGCGTCGCTGCGCCTAGGATACGAGCGCGGTCGAATTGGTTGGCTTCGAGCAGAAGGCGGTCCCTTTGGTGTTCGGCGATCGGAGCGTCCCAGGATTTCTGTCGGTCGCGTGTGTCGTCTGCAGGAGCCATCTTGCCGCCAGCTTTTACGAGCCACTCCTCTTCTGCCTGCTTCAGCTCGTTTAAGATTTTATCCGCGAAGCTTGCCGGCAGGATGGTATGTAGCAGCTGCTGGCAGCGGTGGAGCGAAGCGATGAAGCTCGGGAGCGCGACTTCCTCCGTTCTCCTCAGTCCTAGCCCTCCGAGTCCGGTAGGTAGGACGGCCTGTTCCCAGTTCATGTCGCTGAATCTGACATTCACCAGCTCTTCCATCGCCGCTCTGATGACCTCATCCAGCTGTTTCAGCAGCGCAGGATGCTGGAAAAATGGCGCAGCCCGCAACAAGTACTGAAGCTTGGGGAGCCATAGACTATTGCGGAGCAGGTAGAGCGCAGAATGAGCATCGAGTCTCTTCAGCCGCCCGACCATCCGCACGAGGTCCTCCCTTTTGTCCTGTGCTGAAAGCTCCGCAGCGGCTGCCGTCAGTGGCGCTCCGAGGACAGTCTGTTAATCCTCTGACAGGACAGATGCACCTGGAATGATGTGGTGGAGTTGGCTGATGGTTTCTCCCTTGTTGTCGACTGTTGGCACGATGATCTGGCACTTGGAAGGGTTTACTTGCAGTCCGACTCTGGCCATCGCTGGAATGAGTTTCTTCAGGTCAGAATATACATCGGCGCGGTTTCCTCCCAAGGTGCCATCATCTAAAAACCAGGTGTTCATAGAGCATGTAGCGGAGCTAACGATGCTATGAGTTGCCAGGGCGAAGACTGCAGGACCGGATGGATCGCCTTGCTGCACGCCGGCGGCCGACATAATCTTCGCAGTGCCATGGAAAAGAGGCGTCGGTGACGAGTAGGCTTGCCACAGGAGCGGGTACAAAGAGGGTGCGCTGTCCCGCACCACGGCCAGGAAGTGGTCGCGGCGAATGCTATTAAAAGCATTTTGCATGTCGATCTTCACTACGACATCCTCTTCACTGAGGAGCTTGACAAAATGTCGGGTGGCGTGTGCGGCAGCTTCGCATCCTCCGGTTGTTTCAAAGCCCAGCTGGACGGGCCGCAGCTTCTCTCCGAGTTCCGAACATAGAGGCCGAATCGCTACCTTGGTGGCGAGTCTGCGGTACGAAGAGCCGATGGCTATGGGTCTGATACCGCCGCATGGTTTCTCAAGGGCCAGCAGAGAAGCAGTGAAAAAGACCTCTCGGGCTGCGGGGGGGAATGTCTCCGCTCAGGGCCAAATTCACCAAGCGGGTCAGAGCAGTGATGAGCCTTCTGCCGGCCTCCCCGCACGTGTAGCCCGTCATATCCTGGAGATGAGACGGACTGAGTCCGTCCAGTCCCGCGCTGGAGCTCGTGTTGAATGACTTCACTGCAGCTTGGACCTCAGCACAGGAAGCTAGCAGCGGCTGAGTCGTGTCGTCCGGAGGTGATGGCAGGCAGATGTCTTCAGGGGCTGGTGGATGTTTCGCTCGCAGAGCGTCGATGGTCTTGCTTGTGTCTTGGGCAACTGCATCAGCGGAGGAGAGAAGACGGAGAGCCCCTTTCACGTCTCCGTCCGACAGCTTAGACTCCACGGCCTTCTTCCATTTTCCGCTCGACCTGTCCTTCTTCGTTCGGTTTTTGGCGACAGTTTTCGGCACATTCAGAGTCGTCTCGTCGTAGTGATGGGGGTCCGTTGCGGACGGGTCAGTGCGATCGTCGATATAAGCGAATATCTGTCGTTTTATTTTCGCTGTCAGGCTGGACTTGTTAGTCCCTTCTCTCGCACTTAATGCTTCATACGGGAATCGCATAAGTTTGCTCCACGGCCCCACCTCGCTGCTTATGACGGCCTTCTCTATTAGAGTCGCCAGCGCGTCGGCTGCGGAGATCCGGGCTCCCTTGGGAATTCTCCGCACTACTGGACGGGAGCGCCTGAGGCCGGCCAGGGTCAGCCCAAGGTCTACGTCAGGCTCCGGCTGTTGCAGCGCTGTTAGAGCGGACGGCAGACTGGGGCCTGGCTCCGGGCTGGATGGAGTCTCGGAGCTAGCCTTGACGCAGTCCGGGCACCACCAGCGGTGGAGCGCGTTCGCCTGCGCCCTGTTGAGACGGACACATGACATGTGCCAGTGACGACTGCAGATGGCACATTGCATGTACCGCTTCCTGGTGCCGGTTTTTCCACAAAGTGGGCATGTAGGTCGGATACTGGAATTTAGCGATATTGTAGTTGCTTGGTCAGATTTACTCGTCACAGGTACAGGAACTGGCTTGCGGCATGAGTTATGAGTGGGACCTACTGATATGTCTTTTATTCTCTTGGGGGTTTTCTTGCTGTTTGCGGTGACCCACTTTCCGCTGCTGGGGTCATAGCCCTCTATGGATGAATCGGAATCGATATCCATTTGTGCATCGTAGTTTTTAGGCGTTTCGGAAGTGGCAGGATTAGTTTCTCCTTTGGTGCTAAGTGAGTGAAGGGAGTGCTAAATTGTAAGCACGCGATCAACTCTGAAAAATCGAGCGCTGTAGGCCAGACTCGTCTACTCGAATATTATGGATTTTAACGAAAATATTGGATTTTTCACAGCTTTATATCTTAATTACTTTACATTTTCTTACGTTCAAATTATCACCAAATTATTCTACATAAAATTACGAGCACGTCAATATCAATATGTATGTACAAAACTGATTATCTACGCGAAATGGGCAAAGATAGCGGGACGAACCAAAAGACGTCCGACCATTTCAATCTCTACCAATCTGCTTTGGCACATTGGTGGGACAAAAATATTTGAAATAACAGCACACGTGCTGGTATCATTCACGTGTTCTATTTTTCTATTTTTTCCCAACGTGGTACGTCTAAGCCAATCATTACTACCGTTCAATAACGGCAAAAAAGCAAAAACGTCTTACTTAATTCAACATAATATTGCTGGCTTGAAAATGATGGTACAGTGTTATAATTTGGCATACCAATGCGCAAAGAAGTGACGCAAACTTGATGAAAATTTTGGCTCGTTATTTATACTCGAATTTGAGATATAGGCCTCCAAAGTTTGGAACGTTTTTTGGGGGGGGGCACCCGGTATATCATGCGATACGCATAATATTCGGCAAGGAAGAACGATACAAATGTAAAGTCCGCGTTTAACGTTTCTTGATTTGTGGCAGGCTACGCTGGCTGCTCTTGACGCCCTCCGAAAGGCTCACGAAACTGAGGTACAGCGCGAGATCTGTAAGTTCAAGGACGAGTTCATCAAGAAGATGCAGCCCACGCTCGATGTCGGCAAACTTCAGAAGGAGCATGTGTGAGTACTGGGCTATGGGACTATAGGGGGAGGTTTTTTTATTTGTGTCTTACTGGGTACAGTTGTGACGTCACGAGCAGTAAATATAGAGGCGGTCAGGCTGGATAGCCCAGTTATGGCTGATCCTTCTCACCCCTTGGTGGTGATATGCTTGTAAAAATTTGCGTTATCTTGAATATAGCCGAGAAACGAGAGCTGTTATGCTGGTTTGTCATTTCTTTCGCAGTCCACGTGTTTTCGAAAGACGTAGATATTGTTAAACGTTATTGTGTGTGTGTGTGTGTGTTTTTTTTTTTTGTCTTGCTACATTGCTGTGAGACGTTTGTGTCTTTGTGTGTTAGCTTATCCGTTATCCGTCCATCTCTTGACGCATGACGCATTCTCCTTCCTTTCACCAGAGCGGAGATGGGCGATATCAAGGGTGAGATCCTCAGTCTGAGTGAGAAGTACAGCATCAAGTGTCTGGAGACGGCCTCGCTGGAGGAGAAGGTGGAGACACAGACCCGGAGCCTTCAGGAGGCCAACCAGCGCGTCTTCCAGCTGGATGCCAGGTGGGAATACTAACCCAATAACTCACAAACGAACGAACTCACGCACGTACTCACTCACTCACTCAGTCAGTCAGTCAGTCACTCACTTACTCACTCACTCACTCACTCACTCACTCACTCATTCATTCATTCATTCATTCATTCATTCATTCATTCGATTCCACCGTTCCGTGCCTATCCTCAGGATACTGAAATCCTTCTCCACGCCGCAACCCCCCTCCGGGCTGGACAGGCAACTTTATCCCATGCGGGCTGCTCCCTTGGAGCGGCACCGCTGCTCCCGAGGGAGCGCACCCCGTAGCCGGGTGCAGTGAGTACCTTGGGGCTGGGTGGCCTGTCCTCTGGACGGGCTCAGCCCCGGTGACTCACTAGGGTGCCTGCCCAGACCAATGTCTCCCCATATATCCTATCATCCTCCTGGCTCTGAAATGGTCTCATTGGACCGAAAGGGCCTAACCCAAAAAAAAAAAATCATTCGATTCACTCACCCACTCACTCACTCACTCACTCACTCACTCACTCACTCACTCACTCACTCACTTTTTCACTCACTCATTCACTCCTCACTCATTTAAAAAACAGTCATCGCAGGCAATTTCATGCCAGGATTTCGCCTCATTGCATGCTTGAGTTTGTAACTGTCAATGAGCTCCATCACTTCACGTTCGTCTTTGTATTGTGCTTATACCAATGATAGGTGTCATTATACATATTTAAAATACATGGACATGTTAATGTGTTAGTGAAGCATCGGGATAGCCCGGAGAGGGGAGGTTATGCGATTCGGGAACGTTCCGTGACACCGTCTTCACCTCACAGGAACAAACAGCTGCGGGCCCAGCTCTCTGCCAACATCTCTGAACTGTCTGAGGGTAACAGCGCAGCCGGGAAATCCTCAGCCGGTCAGCAGCTGGCTCTGGCCCGCAGTCAGCTCACGGAAACCCGCGAGGAGGCTCAGAGGCTGCAGCATCAGCTGGAGAGCACTCAAAAGGTAGGACGGTGGGCCAGGTTTGCTTATGTTTCGTGACAGCTGCAAATGGTGTGCTAGATTGCGCTAAACGTGAATAGAGCGAGGTGTTTAGCAAATGCTGCTTACGCTGCCTCGCCAGCCTAACGCGTGCTGTGCTGTCCTAATAAGACGCTTTGAATTTGTACTTGCTAGACGATGAGGCTGGGCTACCTAGTACCTACCATATAATTACACACTTGACGTGATACCCGAGTAAATAGTGAATTAAATATATCTTGATTATCTCTATTTTATAACCGTTTTTTAAGTTCTAGCTAGCAATTTTCTGTTGGGGTCAGCCGAAAAAAAAGTAAAAAAAAAAATAACGTTACATTTTGGAAGGCTGGCATACTCGCCGTTTTGAAGCTGGATCGGTGC